TGGGGGGCTCGACCCCCCACCTTGTTGTGGTCACGCAGGACAGAGACTAGGGTGCCCCCACTCCGGGGTGCTCTCTGTGCTCTGGATGCTTCCCTGACCCACTGATCGTTCCATACAGTTCAAAGCAAATTCAATTTATTAAACAGGAATCAGTTTTAAAAATAAGGAAAAAATGGGAAAGGTGAAAGGAAAACCCGTCACCCCGCTCTGTGGCCCAGGGACGTCACAACCAGCGTCTCTGGAGCGTCTGGGCAGTTCACAGTCTGTCCCTCCCCCAGCCCAAGCCCCTGCCCAGGCCCTGGCTGTGCTGCAGGGATGCTGCGGGTTGGATACTTGCTCTGGTGGTGGCCACATGCCCTCAGGCTCCAGGTGGCAGGACCCTTCTTCCCAGCCTCAGCCCCGCTCCCCCATCGGGGTTACATTTCCCCTCTAAGTCTGGCCTGCAAGGCCTCTGGCTGGGGGTGTCTTCTTGCACTAGGCCCCCTGCCCAGGGTCCCCCAGCACTCTTCCCAGCAGCTCCCTGCACCCAGCTCCAGACTGCTCCAGCCCCAGCCCCAGCCCCACTGTGCCACAGCCCTGATGCTGCTCTGCCTTCAACGCAGCTCCCTGGGCCGCTCCTCTGGCCCCTCTGCTCCCAGTGCAGGTCTGCTCCCTGGGCCGCTCCTCTGGCCCCTCTGCTCCCAGTGCAGGTCTGCTCCCTGGCCGCTCCTCTGGCCCCTCTGCTCCCAGTGCAGGTCTGCTCCCTGAGCCGCTCCTCTGGCCCCTCTGCTCCCAGTGCAGGTCTGCTCCCTGGGCTGCTTCTCTGGCCCCTCTGCTCCCAGTGCAGGTCTGCTCCCTGGGCCGCTCCTCTGGCCCCTCTGCTCCCAGTGCAGGTCTGCTCCCTGGGCCGCTCCTCTGGCCCCTCTGCTCCCAGTGCAGGTCTGCTCCCTGGGCCGCTCCTCTGGCCCCTCTGCTCCCAGTGCAGGTCTGCTCCCTGGGCCGCTCCTCTGGCCCCTCTGCTCCCAGTGCAGGTCTGCTCCCTGGGCCGCTCCTCTGGCCCCTATGCTCCCAGTGCAGGTCTGCTCCCTGGGCCGCTCCTCTGGCCCCTCTGCTCCCAGTGCAGGTCTGCTCCCTGGGCTGCTTCTCTGGCTGACACGGCCCTGCTCCACAGCTCAGCTCGGGCCCCTGCTCTCCCCTTATCTTGGCCCAACACTGTCCGACCCAGGCAATTCCAGCTCACCTGGAGGACAGGACCCCCCTGGTCTTCCGATTCCCTCGTTAGCCCACCCACCTTGTCAATCAGACTGATCTGAAGCATTGGCCTCTCCCCATTGCTCTTGGGGACTGTCAGTCTCAGGGTCCTGATTTCCCACCTTCCCTTCCCCTTCCTTTTGGTACTGGGAGATGGCCAACCAAAAAAACCTCATGAGTTTTAGTAAGGGGCCAACAGTCCCCTTACATTCAGTAACCAACAGATCAGGTGTAGGCTGTTCGCTTTCTTCTTTCTGCCTCCTTCTAGACGGACCTCTAAAGTACACAGTGACTCAGAAACCAAGAGGCCATCTAAATGTTTCAATTTACCAGGAGAGATTGTGTGTGTGTGTTTCAATTCTGCAATCCTATGCCTTTCTCACTAAGTGAGCAGTGACTGCATGAAGTACAGAAACAAAGTGGATATTTTCAAGGCTGAAATGAAATCACTTAAAACAGGAGGAACCAACGCTTCCAACCAAGGAGTGGATCAATCCCTGCTGGTTATAAAACTAAGCTGTCTCACTATCATTTGTAACAGAAACCAAATGCCCGCTAGCATTTCTGAGACATCTCATCAGCCATGACATAAGTCTTTCCCTGCAGATCCCTTTGGGGAAAAGACTGTTCTCTCTGCTCATCTTGGTTTCATGGTTTTCAGTGGCTCAGTGGTTGATTTCAGAGTAACAGCCGTGTTGAACAGTGGTTGATGTTCTTCAAAAGACCCAGAGAATGTCAGGGTCATGCTAAGTTTTCAGTACTCTCAGAAGAAAGAATAAAACCAGAAGATCCTAATGGAAATACTAAGTCATACGTGGTATCTTGCCAGACAGGGACTTGCATTGGAAGACCCTTATACTGAACAACCCAAAAATGGGCCTTACCTGGAGAGTTCAACTGTAGCTGTATTCAGCTGCATTGCTTGCAGACAGAATGTGATTCTGGTATTTCAAAGGGGCTGAAAAAGAGTCAAGACAAATTCCCAAGCTCAGTTATTAAAAATGAGCTAATAGACATGGTGGCTCTTAAAGTGGGAAGGCAGATTTCTGAGAGGGTTTCTGGGCAGAGGTGTACAGTGATGATGGATGAAACAACGGATTTCTCCAACAAAGAGCAAGTGGCTTTATGCCTACAATATGTCGGTGATGAGATGAATGTGCATGAGGAGTTCATTGCATTGTACAATGTGGCCTGCACATTGACAGAGGTAATGGTATCAGTTATTAAAGGTATTATTGTGCCTAAATCTGAGGATCAACAACTGTCATGGACAATGCTGGGTTGGTGCCATTAATATGCCAGGTTGTATCAGGTGCAGCAACCAGATTTCAACAGGAGGAATCATAAGCATGTCAGGATGCTATTAAAAATAATACTTGTTGCAGTTTCAGAGGTAACTGTACCTGTACTCCCCCTGGAGGGTGTGCACTTAAAGTTTCAGGCTTCTAGCCATCACCTGTCTCTGGGCAGGGTCCTTTGTTCCACTTCATTCTGCCTGGGAGAGTGGGGGGTTAATTCTGCACAGCTCCCTGCCTTACACTGTGATATACTCAGCAAGCCAGTCTGCCTGCAGGCCAGTCCCTGTGCTTTGCTTTGTCTCTGAAGGCGATGACCAGTGTACTGTCAACACTTACAAGCTATAACCCAGCTCTTTCTAGGCAAGCACCTTTATTCTTGAGGTAAAAGCATCACAGAGAAAAAGTATAAAAACAGTAAACAGATGTAAACACCCATAATTATACCAGGAGTCACCCTCAGTCTTTTGGGGCAAAGGTCAAGGTCCTCCCAACCCTTCAGCAGGATTGGAGCCCCTTGGACAAAAGTTCACATCCATTTGCCAGATTGGAGAGAAGGCCCTGGATCAGTTCAAACTCATCCTTTTATACCAAAAACCCTTTCTTTGTTTTCTAATCTGTGGAAAACCCAGCATGAGCCAGTATATGCAAACCACCCCAGGGTGGTGCTTCTTTGGGGTTGTTTCCAATCCCCAGGAGTAACCACGCCCTCTGTTTTTAGTTCCTGGAGGCGCTGTGGTAACCCTCCCCCGGAGCAGAACACAAACATATAGAAACCATTCATAAGTTTAATACAATGATCCCCAAAGCTACTGCATGGGGTTGCAATGTCTGTGACAATTCTATCCTGAAAGATACCACTTATGAAATTACAAAATGATGTAAAAAAGTCACCCCAACAAGATGCTGTACTTCAGGACATAAAATATGAAGTGTTCAGTACACCACCAAACATCTGTGTCCTCTGTCCAGCAATGGACTCTCTGTGCAGAAGCATTGGCTTCATTTGAGAGCTACTTTTCACTGTGGACAACTTGAGAGGTTGCAAAGGACGCAATGAAAGATCCTGAAATTAGAGCTCAGAATTCAAATGGAAAAGTTAAATTTCCTCTTGGTATTGAACTAGGTTGAGAAGTCCTAAAAACAGTAGACAATGTATCATATTCTGCAAGGGTCAGACGTTTCAGCAATAGAAGGTCAATCCCATATGAAAATGACACTGAATTCACTTCAGTCCATCCAATCGGATGAAAACTACAACTTACTCTGGGAGAAAATCTGCCAGAGAAGTTTGAAATTGAAGATAGAAGGCACAAGCTTCCAAGAAAGAGAAAAGTTCTGAAGAAAATGCAAATAGGAACAGGTGAACTCAGCTACCCAAATACACAAAGAAATTTGATAAGTACATCTACTTCAAAGTAATTTATTTTACACGTTTAGTGTTCAATCAAGATTTGAACAGAGAGGCTACAAATTATTAAAAATAATACGCTCATAACAACACGAACTGTAACAGGGACGCAATTTCAAGATGTGCTACAGAGGTATTGTTCCGATTTCGACCATGATCAACTGGTTACTCAGCCTCATCTATTTCAAGTCAACTGTCATCTTACAGAAAGATTGGTGAAGGCTGTTCATAAATATCTCAGCTTGCTCTGCCAAACCAAACATTGGCTGTTTTCCAAAGCAGTGAAGTTGATATACCTGATTTTGCTGGAACAGCAACCAATGGTGTAAGTGAAGGTAGTTTCAGCACTCTTCAGCGTGTTAAACTATGGCTTTGATCCACAATGGGACAATCACAGCTCAACGGTGTGTGATTTTTTACATGTACACAAGGACAAAGCTGATAATTTACAGATGTTGCAGAAGAATTCATTGCAAGCAATGCAGAGCAAAAATCATTGTTTGCAACTTTTTCACATTTGTAAATTGTTCTTTTTATTCCTGTTTTATGTTTTTGTGCGCAGTTTTGTGCCAGGACTAAATTTGTGAGCTAAACAAGCTCTGGTTCCAAACTCTGTGCCTCCTTGATTTATTAATGCAATCCCTAAATTCTGGGGAGCTAAAAGCACCCCAAGCCCCTGTTCTTTACATGAGTGGTACTAGGTGTGGTATGATCTGGCCAGTTGGGAATTTCTTTGGAGCCGGCTCTGCCCCACCAACATAGGGGCTGTGTCAGGAGAGAGAGGAGATGTAATGGGAGTGAGGGGAAACAGAGTAGGATGGGGTGAAACTTTGCTCCCTTACAGTTGTTCTTAGTTGGTCTGTGGTCCCTTAGCATCCAACGCCCCTTCCCCGTACCCATGTTGTGCAGGCGAGAATCTGGCCCAGGAGTTTTGCCGTTGAGTTCCTTGTTGATTCCAGAGCTGGTTCATTGATTCTCCATTATGCTGGGTGGGGGCACAGGGTTGTACTGCACCAGCATGTGCTATAGGTCGTGAGAATTGCTGTCTGTGTCTCTGTGCGTAGGAATTAGCCCAGCTCCCTTTGCAGCTGAACGTCCTTCAGCACATGGTAGAAGTCTACCAGGTGGAGCTGAAGGGCATGAGACTGATGGCTGTGGATGCCACCGAAGCGACAGAAGCAGCCAAGGTGAGAACTCTGCTTGGGAATCAGGTACTGGGCATGTTGGGAGAGGTCCTGGCTCAAGGGCTGCAGCATCTGTTGCATGCAGTGACCTTTCTAGGAATGACTTAGGCCCCTACTCCGGTTAATTTTCTTGCCATAAAGAGCAGAACAAACTGAGTGGGGGATTCCAGTGCCCACCAGGCTCCCCCTGCCCTAGAGCCACCCCACACCTGGGTGCTGGGGACAGCTTGCTGAAAGTACTAGGTATGAAATACCCAGACGGGTTCAAACCCTGGCTGCTTCAGTGTCCCTGGCAATTTATTTTGTGGAGAATCTTTTGGAAAAGACCTTAAAAGCTGAGGCCCTGGCTGCCCTGCCCAGGCTCTAAAGATCCCACGGCACATTTCGTAGGATGTAGGGGCTTGCCGAGGCATCCTTGGCCATGCTGTGCAGTGCACTATGGGCCAGTTGTCTGCCACCCTCTGCCCCAGAGGTGGCTGCATTGTAGCAGTGCAGTGGGGATGCAGCTTGTGCAGTACTTTGGCATGGAAGAGGCTTTATTGATGTGATAATTGTTATTCCCTTCCCTGACTGTGCCACACTCCAGGCGGACATGATCAATATGGAAACTGAGTTCATTGCAGAGAGAAAGTTCAGGGAGAATTCCCTAAACTTCCAAAAGAAGCAGATTGACAGGATCCGGGTCAAGGATGCGAGCGAGCGGCACAGGAGAGTGGTGAGTCCACGTGAGCTATGGGTGCAGAAGGGCAAGTGAGCTCACGCTGTGTGCCTGGCTTGGGGATCATGAATGGGAAGTTTGCCCCAGCAGGGGAATATTTATGGCCTTCTCGACCCTGACAGCCCCTAGCACAGGATGCCTTTGGGGTGAGCAGCTGCCCAGTGAACATCAACTCCTGTGGCTTGACTGATGGAATCCAATGTGAAAAGTGCGGCGTTGGGCTGGGGTCTCTTCAGCTCCCAGAAGCTAAGCACAGCCAGTGCTTGGGTGGGAGAGTGAACTCCACGAGGAGCAGTGGGGGTAATGTAGCCCTTGCCCTGACTCCAGCCGCTGCAGAAGGACCTGTCCTAGGCGATTCTTTCCTTTGAGTCAGCAGGGCTGCTGCTGGAAATGGTGCTCTTTGGATGAGCCAGAAACCCAAGTCCTGGCTCTTGGTTACAATCATCCTTTGCCCTCATCGCTCCTTCCAGTCATGGGTCTTCAAACAGAAAGACTGAAGCCTCTCAACCTCCTGTGAGGTAGATCAGTACCATTATCCCCACTTTGCAGGTGTGGAAACTGAGGCACAGAGAGGGACAGTGACTTCTGCCAGGTCACAAAATGAGCCTGTGGCAGAGCTGGGACTAGGACCCAGGAGTCCTAGCGCTGTACTATAACTGCAGGACCATCCTCTTCCTCATACCAGAAATGAGTTGTTATCCCTGGTGCCGGGCAGGCCCCAGCTTGGGTAATGACATTCACCTACTTAAGGCTCCCCCTTCAGGGTCCCTTGGAGAAATTGTCCTTCTCTGCCGAGCCAGAAAGCTGCAGGAGGTTGCTGGTGCAGGATGGGTGCATTGACTCAATGACTGATGGCCACGTGTGCTGGGCCTGATCCCTGTGACCCTACACTTGTGTCAGGACTGACACCTTGGCAGAGTGGGTGTGAAACACAACAGTGGCATTTTACAGTTTCTCTTCCCTGGTGTCAGCGACAATGCAAGGTACAAGGGGCCTCAGACTGGGAGGCGACAGTGGATTTACTCTGGAGTTACATTGGTGGACGTGAGATCTGACGGGAAGGATCATCCCGTGGTTCAGGTGCTGACCTAGGAAATGGAAGACCTGCATTCACCTGCCTGCTCCTCCACAGATACCCTGGGTGACCATAGGCAAGTCCTTGGGCCTCAGCTCCTCGTCTGTACAATGAGGATAATACTCCTGCACTGTCGCACAGGGTAAAAACATTAGAGATTGGGAGGCAGCCAGACACTGTGGTGATGGGGGCCAGATAAGCATATAATCTAGCCAGAACCTGGCCCCTGTCTATAAAGTGCTTTGGGATCCCCCCGGCTGAGAGAAGCTACATGTCTGGATCATTACCAGGGACCCAACCTCTTGGGTTGGCTCTGCCCTGAAGCCAAGTTGGCTTGGCATGGTCCAGGTGCCTCATTTCCTCCCAGGCTTTTCGGTGAATCATTCAGTTGCTTCTAATTCCCTTGCAGCAAGCCAGGCGAGAGCTCAATGTGGATTTCCCAGGCCTGATGTCGCGTGAGTCGCTGAAAGGTGAGGTTGCATTTCGGCCAGGCCTGCTACTGGAAGCTTCCTCTGCTGTGCACATGCTGATGGAAAGGAAGGACTGGAGCCCAGTACCCTGGTGGCTTAGCATTCGTAACTCCGGGAGCTGCTCCAGGGTGCAGCCTGCTGAGGGCTCAGGCAGCATCCCAAGGCCTCTGAAAACAGGTGTTGGCTGCTGCCTGAGGCAGGGTGTCAGGCAGGGGGTGTGAATGTCCAGCTTGGAGATGGGCAACCCTGGTTTCTGGGAGTGACTATTTCTCTTCTGCCTGAGGTCTCTTCCCAGAGAACACACTCAATGAGTATTCATCACTGGCAGCTCTGGCTGGGAGATGTCTGCTCCCATGCAACCTCATCCTGCTCTTGCTGAGGTCGTTGGGGACAGCACTGACCCCAAGCCTGGGTGAAATTCAGCGCAACCCCAGGCTCCCTGCATCACTTAAGCCTCTTGGTGGGGCACCACTGTGTGGGGAGTGTTATTTTCATGGAACACACATAGAGCAGTTAGATAAAAACCATAAATACTCTTGCTGGAAATTGTAATGTCAAACAACTTTATTTCTTAGAATCCAGAACAATAACACACAAGAACCAAAACAAGAGAGAGACAAAGCAGGCTGCTTCCTGTAGCAGAGAGACACAACTTACTCCACCTCACTCTAGACTGGCTGGCTGCAGACTGGCCACTCAAGGGCCAGATTGCACACTTCCCTTGCACAGAGCCCCCTTAGCCTAGCTAGTCTGCAAGCAGAACCAGGAAACCCCGTACAAATTTAATAGTGATACTTGGTCCTTTTGACACGGTTGTCACTACACCTCGGGGAGCTACCTCTGGGCCCCTGCATACCAGGAAGGGTTTTTTTTCTTTGGCCCTGCATGGGGACGGACAGACGGACCTGGCTCAAGGATGGCATTAAAGAGGGAGACAGACCTTGCTAGGAGCAGGGCATGATTAGCTAATGAGATCCTGTCTTTGTATTGGAATGCTTAACCTAGTGTTTCATTTGTCAAGTGGGTTGTCCCCTGCCATGTTGCTGTAGATTTGTGTGTGTTTGGTGTAGGGGAGATCTGGGAGGTTTTAGGGAATGTCTCTTTAGCTCTTATCTGAACTCAGTTGTTATTTTATACCTTGCCCATAGATTCTTCATTCCTGCTGCTCCAACCCCTGGCCATCATTTGGATGTCATTCTGTGACCCCCTGCACACCTGCCCTGTTCCATCCCCTCCTCTGGCCACCAAGCCTGCCCCAGGCTGGGGGATATAACTTTGGTATTCTCTCTGCTGCTTCCTCCCCATGCCTAGGTGCAAAGCTGGAGGCCTCCAAAGCCCAGATTGAGTATCAAGACCAAGTGACATCTGATGTAGACAAGATAAAGTGTGCAGTGCAGTGCTCACACCTCTGGGTAAGGCACTCAGGGCTTGGGGGCTTTGCTACTAGGGAGGTAATGTTGGATTGTCAGCCCTGGAGCCGAAAGCTCCTGTCCTGTGTGGGCATAGGTGCTGGAACTAGGGGTTCAGGGGTTGCTGCTGCACCCCCTGGCTTGAAGTGGTTTTCATCATATAGAGGGTTTACATTTTGGTTCAGTGGCTCTTAGCACCCCCACTGTACAAATTGTTCCGGCACCCCTGGGTGTGGATAGCTTCCCCCCTGCCCTGCCCATGTCCCTGTCCTGTCCGCCAGGCCCGGGATCTGCTAGGAGCATGAGTGTGCCTGTGCTAAGGGGATGTAATATTTATACCAGCGTGACTACGCTTATGCCCTTGTTGACCCTCTGAAGCGTCTAGGGAGTGGTATCCCCAGAAACCTGAGCAGACTCACCCAGAGCTGAGTGCTTGTCTCTCTCTCAACAGCCCTGACTGCTGAGAGCATCCTGGTGACTCCCTCAGGGCATCCTGTGTGCTGGGAGCTGCTGTCTGAGCCCCCTTCTGCCTTGGCCCAGAGTGGCTGGACAGTGTGCTGCTCTTTTCCCTTCCCCATTTGCTCCAGCTCACTAGAGCAGTTTGATTTTCAGAGCTAAGGTAGCAGCAGACACTGTGTCGTGAAGGGACAAGATTCTTGGGACATGCGCAAAGGGAAAAGAGGCATCAGAGTCAGCTCTGAATTGGAATTGTTGCCTGATTAAGGACTGAGGAGTGACTCCAATGCTCAGGATCTGGCCCACTGATGCCAGGCCCTAGTTGGCAGGGATGGCCTTAGACAAGGGCTAAGAAGTCACCTGCAACATCTAAGGGGCTTTGCTGAGGTCTAATGTGGGACCCCAAAGCCACAGCCTGTTGCTGCACTGCTCCTACTGAGGAGTCCCTCCAATGATCCCCCAAAATAGTGGGAACTATCCCTGTAACTGGGCAGTGCTGATCTCACATGCTCCAGGGTGTGGCTTGCGTGGCTGGCTAGCTGGTGGAAGCCCCCACGCTCCGGGAGTGGAGCTGGGATCTCATAGGTCCTGTATTCTTCCTGGTCTGATGCATTTTGTTTTGATGCCTCCTCCTGGCCAGGACATCGCAGGGAGGTTCCTGGCCCAGCAGAAGACTGGGGAGAACCTGCAACAGCAGATAGTGGAGTGTGAGCAGAAGCGTGAGGAGCTGGAGGCCAAGCTGAAGGAGCTGGAACTGGAACGTGCTGAGCTGAAATTCCATCAGTCCCCAAGCTCCATAAGGTACGTATTTACCCCGTGCACAGTGCTGGCTGGGCTCTGTGCCGCCACCATCTGCTCCTGGCTCTTCACCCTGGTGACTTAGCTTCTGACAGGAGGGCACATGTTGCAATTCAGGCTCATAGGGTGCATTTTCTACCATGGCTGGTGCCAGCCCCATAACTACTGGTGCCCTGGGTGTGAGGATGGGATCTGATGTCCTCTAAATCCTCACAGCCTGCTCCCTTCCCCCCACTTCATCCTCTGCATTTCTGCAGGGCACATCTTTGATTCCGCTGGAATCCTGAGCACTGTTTGCAGCAGTGCTGCAAAAGAGATGACATGGCATCTGGGGCAAAGGATTCTGGTATGTGTCCGAGACCCACAAGTGCCACTTGTGCAGAACCAGGGTCCCTCTTGGAGGGAGCACGGCATTCTCAGCTGCAGGCCTTCACTTCCAGAATTCGCCCCTCCTGGAAACACATGAAAGCCAGGCCTTGTAAGATGCACTTCATGGCCCAGGCTGCCCCCCAGCTGCAGGCTCCAGAATCTCGGTCAAGGTGCCCACTGGTTAGATTTCCTCCATGCCTGCCCTTTAACGTTGCTGTGGTGCAGGATTCGCGGCATGTGTGCTCCTGTACAGTGTCTGACAGCGCTTACCGAAGCCATGTAAAGAGCATCCAGATGCTGTGTGGATGGGGCTCCATAAGTATAATCCGAATGAATAACAGCCTTCCTGGGCCCTGTGTGTGTGCGTGTGTGATGGAACATGTGTGCCTGTGTGTATATGCGTGTGTGTGTGTGTGGGTGCGCCTCTGTGTGTATGTTCACCCTCTAGCTCTAGGAAACTGGAGGAAGAATTGAAGAAGAATTTGGAGGAGGAAGAGGTCCGGCTACACCAGGTGCACACCCAAACGCAGAAGAATCAGGAGCTTCTGCTCAGCTTTGAAAATGGCGTTGACAACCTCCTCATTCGCCTGTGCGGGATCACTGTGCCTGGCCATGTATGTGCCCTAAATCCCCTTCTTCCTGCCCTTCCTATCACAGTGCAGTGCAGAGCTGGGCTGGGCTGGGCAGGAGAGGGCTCTCTGTTCCTACCTCTTCAGCATCATGTCATTTGCTCTGAGAGCTTGTAACTAGGCTCACCCCCAACCCACTACATCACCATCGCCACCTTGTCATTCCCACGGAGAAGCGGTACTCTCCCTCACTCGTGGCAGTGTATTGCACGCTCGCTCTCCATGCTGCTACAGCAGCCTTCACATAGCTGTTGCCACTTCTGGTACAGCTCTCAGTATCAGCCTGGTGTGCCCACCTTGTGTCTCCCCCGCTTTTCTGGGCTACCAGTGTCCTTTTACATTGTTCTTCCACTGGCGAATGTGCCCTGCACTTGCCTAGCCCAGCATTGCTCTGCTCCCAGACCTGGTTCAGTATGGGGCCTGTAGACCCCGTCACATTCAGCCACAGCAGATTGCATGCTCTTTCCATTTCCAAAGGCCAAAACTATAGCAGAGTTCAAAAAAGAATTAGCTAAGTTCAGGGGGGAGAGGTCCAACGGTGGCTAATAGCTAGGATGCTCAGGGATGCAACCCTATGCTCTGGGTGCAGGGGTGACAGATTCTTCCTAAAAGTGGGGGGGGGGGGTCACAGCTGCCTGTGCAGCTCTTACCCTGACCCGGCTCCAACTTGCCTGACCTGGGGGAAGGGCCTTGGGGGCCAAAGAGCTGCAGCTGGGCCATGGTAAGAGCCGCCTATGCTGCTGTGGGGAGCTGCAGAGTCTCCATCTGCCTGGAGTGGGGGTCTGGGAGACGAGGACACAGGCTGGAAGCTGCTCTCAGGCCTCCCAACCCTGGGTAGATGGATGGTCTGCAGCTCCCCACAGCTGCCCAGGCTCCCTGGACACTCTTATCGGCCGGGTTCCAGCTGGCCGGGGGACGGGGCCTCATGGGGAAGAGAAGGGGCAGGGGCCAGGGCCATGGCAAAAAGTGGACAAACCATGGCCTCTTGGCCTTCCCTGTTCTGGCGTCCCTATCTGGGTGTCCCTAGCCTCTGACAGCCAGAAGCTGGGATTGGACAGCAGGGGATGGATCACTTGATTGCCTGTACAGTTCATTCCCTCTGGGGCACCTGGCATTGGCTCAGCCACTGCTACGTAGCTATTTGTATGTGTACTAGCTCGATGAGAGAATGGGTATGCAAGCAGTGCAGACATCACCTAAAAGGGCTCTCTTCCCCTCCACTCAAACAGTAATTCCCCTCCTAAAGATTACTGGGGCAGTTCACTCCGCTTAGAGCTCATGCTTCGTGCTGGCTGGCTGCAGACTCAGGCAGGCCTCCCTGCATCAGTTTATGTCTGGGTCATATTTTGAAGGTTTTGTTAGACCCGCAAAAAGTCTCTCTACGGGATGGGAAGCAGGCAGATACCGGACACAGTGTTTGTATATAATACTCTAAATGCTCTTTATTGATTACAAAACAAACCTTACTCACTCCACATTCACGCCCCAAATATACTATACCAGAGTCCAAAGGTCAGAATGGTCCCGATGGCCAGTTGAGATTCCTTTCGATCATAAGATGCGGGGAGCCAGCAAAAACCACGTCTATATTCACATGGGACTCTGGATCAATAAACAACTCCAATTTGCAGAAATCATAGGCAACCATTTATAATTCATTCCGTCGTGTAATTGGTTCTTTGCCTTTGTTTACTAGGCCTTCTACCCACACAATTCCAAAGATATAGATATAGATATCTTTGGAATTGTGTGGGTAGAAGGCCTAGTAAACAAAGGCAAAGAACCAATATATATATTAGGGCTGTCAAGCGATTAAAGAAATTCATTGCGATTAATTGTGAGATTAATCGCGCAGTTAAACAATAATTGAATACCATTTATTTAAATATTTTTGTGTGTTTTTTACATTTTCAAATAGATTGATTTCAATTACAACACAGAATACAAAGTGTACAGTGCTCTCTTTATATTTATTTTTATTACAAGTATTTGCACTGTATAAAAACAAAAGAAATAGTATTTTTCAATTCACCTAATACAAGTACTGTAGTGCAATCTCTTTAGCATGAAAGTTGAACTTACAAATGTAGAATTATGTAAAAAAACTACATTAAAACAAAGTAAAACTTCAGAGCCTACAAATGCACTCAGTCCTACTTCTTGTTCAGCCAATTGCTCAGACAAACAAGTTTGTTTACATTTACAGGAGATAATGTTGCCCGCTTCTTGTTTACAATGTCACCCGAAAGTGAGAACAGGCATTCTCATGGCACTGTTGTAGCTGGTGTCGCAAGATATTTACATGCCAGATGCGCTAAAGATTCATGTGTCCCCTCATGCTTCAGCTACCATTCCAGAGGACATGTGTCCATGCTGATGACGGATTCTGCTTGATAACGATCCAAAGCAGTGCGCACTGACGCATGTTCATTTTCATTATCTGAGTCAGATGCCACCAGCAGAAGGTTGATTTTCTTTTTTTGGTGGTTCGGGTTCTGTAGTTTCTGCATCGGCGCGTTGCTTTTTTAAGACTTCTGAAAGCGTGCTCCACACCTCGTCCCTCTCAGATTTTGGAAGGCATTTCAGATTCTTAAACCTTGGGTCGAGTGCTGTAGTTATCTTTAGAAATCTCACATTGGTACCTTCTTTGCATTTTGTCAAATCTGCAGTGAAAGTGTTCTTAAAATGAACATGTGCTGGGTCATCATCCAAGACTGCTATAACATGAAATATATGGCAGAATGCAGGTAAAATAGAGCAAGGGACATACAATTCTCCTCCAAGGAGTTCAGTCACAAATTTAATTAACGCATTATTTTTTTAACGAGCGTCATCAGCATGGAAGCATGTCTTCTGGAATGGCAGCCTAAACATGGAGGGGGCATACGAATGTTTAGCATATTTGGCACGTAAATACTTTGCAATGCCAGCTACAAAAGTCCCATGCAAGTGCCTATTTTCACTTTCTGGTGACATTGTAAATAAGAAGCAGGTAGCATTCTCTCCTGTAAATGTAAACAAACTTGTATGTTTTAGCGATTGGCTGAACAAGAAGTAGGACTGAGTGGACTTGTAGGCTCTGAAGTTTGACATTGTTTTGTTTCTGAGTGCAGTTATGTAACAGAAACCCCTACATTTGTAAGTTGCACTTTCACAACAAAGAGATTGCACTACGGTACTTGTATGATGTCAAGGTTCCTTCCCCACTCTGAACTCTAGGGTACAGATGTGGGGACCTGCATGAAAGACCCCCTAAGCTTATTCTTACCAGCTTAGGTTAAAAACTTCCCCAAGGTACAAACGTTGCCTTGTCCTTGAACAGTATGCTGCCACCACCAAGAGTTTTAAACAAAGAACAGGGAAAGAGACCACTTGGAGACGTCTTCCCCCAAAATATCCCCCCCATGCCCTACACCATCTTTCCTGGGGAAGGCTTGATAATAATCCTCACCAATTGGTACAGGTGAACACAGACCCAAACCCTTGGATTTTAAGAACAATGAAAAATCAATCAGGTTCTTAAAAGAAGAATTTGAATTAAAGAAAAAGTAAAAGAATCACCTCTGTAAAATCAGGTTGGTAAATACCTTACAGGGTAATCAGATTCAAAACATAGAGAATCCCTCTAGGCAAAACCTTAAGTTACAAAAAGGCACAAAAACAGGAATACACATTCCACCCAGCACAGCTTATTTTACAAGCCATTAAACAAAAGAAAATCTAACGCATTTCTAGCTAGATTACTTACTAATTTTGCAGGAGTTGTAAGGCTGCATTCCTGCTCTGGTCCCAGCAAAAGCATCGCACAGACAGAAAGACCCTTTGTTCTCCCCCCCAGCTTTGGTCATTTTGGTCAGGTGCAAGCAAGGTTATCTTAGCTTCTTAACCCTCCACAGGTGAAAGGGTTTTGCCTCTGGCCAGGAGGGATTTTATAGCACTGTATACAGACAGGTGGTTACCCTTCCCTTTATATTTATGACATATGAGGTGAATTGAAAAAAGCAGTTTCTTTTATCATATTTACAGTGCAAATATTTGTAATAAAAAATAATATACCCTTTGATTTCAATTACAACACAGAATACAATGTATATGAAAATGTAGAAAAACATCCAAAATACTTAATAAATTTCAATTGGTATTCTATTGTTTATCATTGTGATTAAAACTGTGATTAATCATGATTAATTTTTTAAATCGCAATTAATTTTTTTGAGTTAATCATGTGAATTAACTGAGATTACTCGACAGCCCTAATAGCGATGGAATCTTTGGAACTGTGTGGGTAGAAGGCCTAGTAAACAAAGGCAAAGAACCGAGATATATATATATCCCAGCAGTTTCTCTGCAGCAGGAGGGCTCCAGGCCTCCTTTGCTTTCGCTGGGGCTGGGGTTCAGGGGTTCAGTAATGTGGAAGTTGCAGACAGAGAAGGCACTGCAACTTCTGCATGACCATGGAATCTCACTGTACACAACCATGGCAGAACGAGCTTTCATTGCCCCTTGGAAAGAACAGGAGAGGTCAAGGTCAGGGGGAGTTGAGGATCTCAGCAGAGCCTAGTGCTGAAGCTGGGTGGCCAAGCTCAGCGTGTGGCTCAGTGTGTGGCTGAAGCTAGGTGGCAAATGCCCTATTCTTATTGTTTGGGCACAAATCCAACATGCTTTTCGGATGCTAATTTAAACACATCCCAGTTGGTGTGACTGCAGCCATGTGGGGAAAGGCACTTTATAAATTTCCCTCTGCCCAGCACCCAGCCTGGGCAAGCAATTCCCCAATTGCCGAGGACTCTCATCCCCTGTCCTGAACCTCCTGGGTGTTTGTTCCCACTTGCTGGCTCCCTCTGCACCCCAGACACTGGAAGAAATCTCAGGAGACAGCATCATCTGTATCACTTTGTCTCCTTGCCCCTAGGGTGACATTCGCGTGGACACCAGTGACGCTTACGACAAGCTGCAGTTCTGTGAGACAAAGCTGCTGCACTTGACAAAGGTCATGACCAACCTTCCATCCTACAACTTCAGCAGGGAGGAGAACAATGAGGTGTGCTATTCCTCCTGGTCAGGCATGGGGGCCTTCCCCTGAGAGGGGCCCAGGCAGCAGGACAGCGGCACTGCTACTGAAGTCCCCAGGAAGTAGGTCTCCTCTCTCTAAAGCCTGGAGGAGGTCCCAGAACACAGTCGTGCTGACAGGTTGGAGATGCCCAAACTTTGCCCAGCCAAAGGGGCTGCACTGGTAACTTGCCAGGAGCTCCCAGGCACATTGCAGCTGCCCTTATCTTTCACTTGTTTCATGTGTGTATAAGCCCCTGCCAAGCAGCATCTGAGCACCGTGCAGTAAAAATAGTGCAAATCAGGGATATCAAGAAGCAACATCTAGCAACCAGAGACTCCGTGTCCCAGCCATGAATTGCACCATTGTGATCGCAGCAGCCTCCAGAGTTTAGTGGTGCTTTACACACAGGTTGGCTGACCCCTCCTGGGCTATAGGCTAAGACTTGCCACACTGAGTACGTCTCATGTCTCTGATGGGATTGTACTCCGGTGGCTAGCCTCACTCACTGCTCGCACCTCCGTGGCTATGCTCCATGTTTAGCATGTTAGCTTGCAAATAGCTAACACGGGTAATGTCTCCTTGACCTGGAAATTACCTCTTCAGCTGGAAATGTAGACATACCCTGTGTCCATTGCCCCCGTCTTGTCCCCCTCCCCACCTATGCAATATTTAAACTGAAGTGTTTTTTTACAGACCTATGTGAAAGTTAGGAATTTCCTGGAGGAAAGTACAAGGAATGAGCGTCAGAACCTGAAGATTTCTTTTGAGGATGAAGATGCCGCCGTTAGAGGTATGAAGATCTTGGAATTGGGAGAGCACTGAGGACCTGTAGTTAGAATGGAGATCCCAGCCAGCTGCTGGGGAGAGCTTTCAGCAACATTCGCAACAGCCTCTCCATCCTCTGTAACTTCAGAGTCCCATCAACTGCATTCCACTGAAGGATCAGACATGGACCCCCACTGACTAACACAAAATTGGTGCTGGTTTAGAAAACTGGAGATGCCAGTCAGTCCTGCGGCTCACATGGTTTGTGTGTGGGGAGCCACATCCCTCCCTCCAAGGCCAAGGGTTCTCACTACAGTCTAGGGGATTTCAGGATGGTAGGAGAGTAAGAAATGGGTGAATCCTATGGGCTGCTCCTCTGCAACCTCCAGTCAAGGGTAAATATCTCTCACCTTCTATGTACATCCTCGCCATTCTCCTGCCTAGTTATAGCATTGCTATCCCCTTCAAAAATGAGGAGTCAGGCCTCCAACGGCATCAGATTGCCTTAAACCTCATGCAATTTTAAAGACTAATTCATGTTGAGGTCTGTTTATTCACCTTCTGCTGTTGGAGCCTCAAGTTTCTGAGCTTTATTCCGCAACCACTACAGCTAGAAACTTAGGTTTCTTTTAAATGAAAGCTGAGATTCACACATAATCACATGGCTCCAGGAGCTGCAGCTTTATAGAAAACATCATATGGCATGAGAGATGGCAACACTGCAGTTATTTTAGTGAGCTGAGTCCTGACAGCTCAGAGTCCGAGGCACTGGGAATGGGAATGTAGCTTGCAATGAATGTACTGACAACTGTGCTTTGCTGGATAGCACCAGATTTCTTCAAGCTGATGTGACTGTGCTGCCCACTGCCAGCTTGAGGCCTAGAAAGACGCCATAAGCCCTAATACTAGGGACCTCTGCTGGGGATTTAGCCCCTTGTGTTACAGCTGAAAAGCAGCAGCTGCTCCAGTGCCAGGTGCTGTCCCAGCCTGCTTCACTAGGCTTTGTCCTTTTACAGATGCCTTTGATTTTGCTGACATTGACCACAGCTACGTGCCCAACCGGGACGAGATCAAAAAGCAGGGTGTGCGCCTGATTGAAACCATGACCAAGGCAGCCAAGAAGAAGCAGCGAGGAGGCCGGAAAGGCCCCTAAGGCCCCGGGCCACCCTCTCACACCAAAAGCAAATTTATTTCAGGCTTAATAAAGCTCTTCACTTTGCTCGGCTGGCCTCATGCTGCCCAGGCCCACTCAGCGCCACGAGAAGCTGTCAGCGCCGCGGCTGGGCTGGTGAGGGCCCAATCCTGTCAGGCGCTGAGTAGGGTTATCACCTTTGAAAGGCAGGGGACAAACAAGCCACCTCCACAGGAGAAGGCCAGGGCTACCCCAGCTCCCCGCCCGGAGGCCACGCCGCGGCCCGTCTCCCTTCGACAGCCCGCCCCGGGAACCCCGACAGGGAACCCCGACCCCACTGCAGGCGACTCGGGCCCGCCCCCTCTCTCTGAGAGCGGGAAAGTCCACAAGCCAGCCGGGCCAGTCAGCCCCGGCCCGCGCGGCAACCCGAGCGCCCAGCGCCCAGCGCCCGCCCCCCCGCGGCCGGGCTCGCGGCCCGCACTGCCCCGGCGGCTCCGGCCACAGGACGGCGGTGCGCGAGCCCGGCTTGACGCGCGGGAAGGGGGCGGGGCCAGTGCGGCGGGGGCGGGGCTGCGTGGGCAGAGCTGGGCAGGATGGTGGGGAGGGGCGGGATGCGGAGCCGGGGCATGGCTGAGTGGGCGGGGCTGGATAGGACGGCGGGCCGGTGTGCGTCAGGGTCACTCTCTTGTCCCGCGCGCCGTTCCGTAGCTGCGCTGGCTGCGCGCGTCCCTCTCTCCTTAAAGCGACAGGATCAAGATGGCGGCCGCGCTGGGGGCCGAGCCATGTCTCTTATGTCGGCGGCCGGCGGCGCCTGCGAGGGCCTGGCGGGGCTGAGCCCGACCCAGAGGAGCCCTGGGCAGCGTCGAGACTCGGCCACGCCGCTCTCTGCCCCAGGACCGGGGATGCGGCGTTAACCTCCCGACGCAGCGCCGGGACCTCCCCGCCCGCTCGGTCTGTGCGGGGCCAGCCCCGAGCTGCCGCCCGCGTCCTGCCCCGCAGCCCGCGCCGGGGGGCAGGCCTGGGAGTGCAACGGGGTGATTCCTCCCCCGGCACAGAACTGTGTCTGCTTGGGCCCCCGATGGCCCCATAAACCGCCCCCGCCCCGCGCGCTGCCCTGGACGGGCGGCTGCCGAGCTCCGGCGGGAGGCGCGTTTCCTGCGCGCTGTTCAGGGTCCGCGCCCCTGGGAAGGCGGGGGGCGAGGAAGATGTTCTCGGCCCTGAAGAAACTCGTGGGCTCGGACCAGGCTCCCGTCCGCGACAAGAACATCCCTGCAGGGCTGCAGTCCATGAACCAGGCTCTGCAGAGGAGGTTTGCCAAGGGGGTCCAGTATAACAGTGAGTAGGAGCTTGAAGGTTTGGGGGTGCGGAAATACGAGGGCGGGGAATAATCTCTCGGGTTGGAAACGTCCGTGCCCTGAGAGCGGCATCATTCCTGCTGTTGTGTGCAGAGGAATGAAACTGTAACCACACAGTACTAGCCCTTTGTTTTGTGTGCTGTTCCTCTCACAAAGTGTCCCCGAAACACTTTGTGGCATTAAATAGCTCCACTAGATGTGGGAGATAGACAGAAAACTCAAATCTTTAATGCTTGTTTCAAAAACTTTTCCTGTTTTAGGGGCTGGGTGGTGCTGAAGGCCTACACCCCCCACACATACCTCTGCTGACTTCATCGGCAGTTATAGGAGCGCAACATTTCTCAAGATCAGTCCATTAAAATGCCAGGAAATTTTTTTCCCTCCATTCTCCTCCTTCCCCCCCTCCCCCCCCCACATTTGGATGATCTTTGCTACATCCCAGGAAAGTGGTTCTTTCCAATCAGGTGCTAATCGCTGTTTGTTATTAAATGAATATTGTGGAATTTTGCCGTCGTAAAGGTTAGTGAAAGGTGAAGAAGGCGCCATATCTAGTTTTATTAGGTCCATTAGTCTCACATTGGGCATCAGTTTATGCAGGTACATTTTTTAGAATTCTTTTTCAATAGGCATTTAAATGAATGTTTTCAATAGGCATTTAAATGAATGTTTTCTCGTAGGCAATTGCAGCATCTCTTATTTCTAATAAAACATTTCTTGAGACCCAGAGGGGCACTAGGTGAAATACGTGCACAAGTAATAATTGTGACACACAGGGTAGTGGTTCCAAAACACTTAAGCAATTTTTACTTAAGCAATTCAGCAGCTGCATTTTCTCTTTTTGAGACCCACCCAGGGGCCAAAAACCGTAAGTCGGCAGTGTCCTCCGCTGCTGTCGCCTTTTCCTTGCTCCTCCGAGGCTGTGGCACTGACCACCCATAGCAGTACCCTCTGCTCTGGCACTGCAGCCCTAATTCCATTGCAGAGGAGAGGTCTTGCAGGGGCATTGGAGATCGCCCCTCCACAGCTGAGCCAAACCTGAGTGGTGCTGCAATGCCGTGCAGCAGGTCGCAATGCCTGGAGAGCCAGGTCCAGCCCCCTGGGACAGGGACTGCTGCTGTGGGGGTGAGTGTGGAGCAGGCTCGATCTCCAATGCCCAGAATAGGGAGATGGGCCCAGCCCTGTGGGACAGGAGCCACCACTGTGCAGGCTCCCTCTCCAGTCTTCTCCTCTCCAAATCAGGCCTGCAACCCACCTAAACCTTCCCGCGATCCAGGGGTCGGTTGAGACCCACTTTTGGGAAACACTGACATAAGGCGATAGTTATATCATCCATTCTGAAAATAGACACACACCAGCACGGTGAGTATTAGCTCACCTGGATGGATCTGTGTAGGTAGTGAAGTCAGAGTGCAGATGGCTTGCGAGGAGATCAGCAGTGTGGAATAATGTCTGATTTGTAAATGTTGGACTTGAATAGTTTTCTATGCATGTCTGCACAGCTGGGGAGATGTGAGGGGGATAGAAACCACAGTTGAGGGGAAGGGAGAGGCTAGCATTAGAAATGTAGAAAGGATGGTCAGCAGCCCTTCTGAGCTGGGATGTGTATGTGTTTTTGTTATACCAGAGGAAGCATTTGGTTCGCATCTGTTAGGCATACTAAGAATAATGTGTAATAAATTGGTTAGTCTCTAAGGTGCCACGAGTACTTCTTCTTTTGCGAATACAGACTAACACTGCTGCTACTCTGAAACCTGTTAGAATGTGTGGCAATTGTGTGGAGCTATATCCATTTTTAAGATTAATACAGCTGGTCAAAAATGCAGACACTAAAGCCACCAAGCATAGTCCTATTGAATCCTTAGCAAGTACATCCATTTTACCTTTGTTACATTGCTAAAAGCTTGTGGAAGGGTTTTGTTTGGTGACTTGACAGTACTTGTGTTCGGATTACTGTTTTTAATATTGATGATGGAACTGAATCTTTCTGTCGCTGCCTTGGGGGAAGCTTTCCAATTGCCATAGTAACTCTTCTCTCAGTGTTGCTCTTATATAATAATTACAGAAGATGCAGGCCAGCTTGTGAAAGGGTTTGGGAGGTGGTCCACTAAGACACACGTGGTGTATTTATTTTTGAATGCCATGCGTGTGTGGCCCTTGCAGGTTGGACAGTCTTAGCATGAGGCGTTGTAACTAAGGCTACCTGTGACTTCCAGAGACCTCTGTGACATTCTGTGCTTCAGTCTCAGGGGCTGTGGGCTCTGGAGCTGGCAGCCAGCTGGGTCCTGGAAGGGTTCCAGTGACAGACGACAGCAGCCCCCCTTCAGGGTTCCAGCAACAGGTGACAAACTCCTGAGGGGGCCCTCAGGGTTTCAGCGATGGGCAACAGCCTCACGTGGGGTGGGGGGTGGGGGGCAGCGGGTTGCCTCAGGTGAGCGGCTGGGGGTGTCCTGTTTTCTCTTTGGCCGATATCCTCTCCCTGCAGCTTCCAGCAGCCATGGGCAGAGGGGGAACCCCACAGCTCCCAGCCACCATGGTGGCAGGGGAAACCATGGAGCTGTAGTAGCAAAAGTCAGACACGTCAGGGCTTCCGTGAATTTTTTTTGTTGCCTATGACATGTCTGTGACTTTTACTAAAAATAACCATGATACAATCTTAGCCAAAGTTATAACATGAGTTGGATATAGGATAGTAAGGGATGTCAGGCAGAAAGGGTGTTCCTGTGGGGAAAACTCTTACATTATTTTGCCAATGCTCCTTTGTAAGTTTTTAAAAAAAAAAAAAAAAAAAGAAATTCAAGGGGAAAAATGAAAATGCTTTTCATGGCCATTGTATATAAATAAATGTCATGCCTTTAACCCCCTTTTTTCCTACATTTGCACAAATCCAAATTTTTGGTTCGCTGTCGTGGCTGTTACAAAAATGCTCCCTTTTTTTTGGTGATGATCCATTCAAAACATGAAACTGAACTCTGTTTCCTTACCACACATTTATTTAGCTCATACACTGACTTGTTGAAGGATTGCTCATAAGAGCTATAGCTAATGAACTGGCAGTCAGGAATTCCTACATTCTAAATCTGGCTCAGATACTGATTTGTGTGGTTTTGGTTGTGTCATTTCACCTCTTTGTTGGGGATCGGTCCTGCTTTGAGTGGAGGGTTGGACTAGATGACCTCCTGAGGTCCCTTCCAACCCTGATATTCTGTGATTCTTTGTGCCAGTTTCCATAGCTGTGTAGTATATTTAAGAAAAGAAGTGGAAGAAAACCCTCAGGTGGATAGTTCTTTAACTATATTAAGTGCTGAGTTATGCTTATGAGTTCTGGACAGCTGGCATTGGTTATAGGAAAAAATACATTGAAGCACTTTGTTGAGGAAACCCCTTCCACTCCCTGCCCAATAATATAGACTTTTCAAACGAAGAGAAGAGGTTGGCGTCTTTGTAGGGTATGATTTCAGAATAGGGCAAGGCCTAATAGCCTAAGCAGCAGCCACTAATATTCAATGGAGAATCATATTTCAAAATATATTTTCATACTTGTACCACACGTGTATTTTCACATACTCCTCATCCACACTGTGCCTTGTGGGCATACCACCATACTTGGCTTTTTAGTATCGGAGAAGAAAATAAACTATAAGCACTGCCATACTACAAACTGAAAGTTTACATACGGTGGTGATAGGCCTTCAGCCACATTCGTTCATTTCTTCCTCTCCCAGCCTTTCTGGGATTATATGTCTGAGGATTCCCTTGAAACTACCCATTGATGGTAACTGATCAGAGCAAAAGATGTGAAGCAGTTTGAAAGATCTAGCTATCATATTCTCTTTCTTGCCTGGAGATGGGAGCCCGCTGGGCTGCCTCCCTCAAACTGTT